GTCTTTCAGTCATCAATGCACACATTCAGTGAAACACAGGAGCTCTTTCAAGCTGGGCACCGTTTCATTTACAACACCTGTCCCAACAGTGACGAATTAGAATCAGAAATACTTTAATAATCCTAGGGTGAAATTTCTTTAGTTACATGACAGTGAGTGACCATAGAACCAGCTTGACATAACACAATTTCATACAATATGTATAATTAGGGGGTCCTGGCTCCCATCTAGCCACCAGTTTGGGGTTCCTTAGCCTGGGAAACGTTGAAGACCCCTGATCTAAATGATGTGCTAAAAGAAGTAATCTGCAAGGAAGCAGGTGCTCTCTCAAATCCGTGTACTTTACAAAAACGTTAAGCCTAAATTGCCTGCTTCTTCTAAGAAATGTTGTATTTAGAGGTTAACACCAGGTTTCTGAAATATTTCTACTCTATGTGAGCTCATACAAAAAAAAAAAAATAAGAGAGTAAACCCCTCACTTTTATGCCTTAAAATGACTTAAGGTCATAATCTAAAGCCAAAGAATCACTCCTGTCCCGACAAAGCCCAGCCTGACAACAAACTCCAACATATTTACCCCAAACAGTTTCTCTAATGCGTTTCTAATGCTTGTAATGGTTCCACCTCTCAGCACCATTATTTTGTGGCAGCTCTTTTTTATTCTTTTCTTTGTGCTGAAGCTTACTATATCTTTTTTCGTATGAGTCTTTTTATAGCCCTCCTCCGTTCTTAATTCTCTAACAATGACGTGCTACAGATGGGAGACATGTTACATACTCAAACAATCTGACGGACATCATCAGAACCTAAAACTTCAACCTTAGTTTGCTGTAATCAGAATTGAAACAGATCATAAAAAACAATAAGGTTTGATTGAAGCTGAAAACAGAAAACAATAAAAAGGGAGAAGGGAGGTCTAAACTATATCCTACGTTACCCTAAGGGGACTTCATGCGTGTGACATCACTCGTTCCGAAGTAAACACGCGCTCACTCACCACAGCAACCGGCCTGGTTGGAGGGGGCAACCGCAAAACACACTTTAGCACACACACACGTACTGTACCGACCCACTCTGGATAATAGGGACCGACCGGGGGTATTTACGAGGGCTGGGATATTTCTACTCAAACAGAATTAATAAAGCTCTCTCTCCAGACTTTAGCGCCATTTAAATTTTAGGGCAAAGATTCTTGTCTCTTTAACAGCTGGAGGGAGTACTTAAATGACAGTTCACCCAAGTTTTAGTTTTTCTCCAGAAATATACGTATGTACATTCATTAAAGCCATACCTATAAACTGGTGTCATAAATAAAATGTTGCAAGTAGAAGAATTTAAAGAAGTTGAACTGTTTTTTTTTTTTTTGCCAATCTTTGTTTTTCAAAGTGATTAATTTTTTCCCCAATTTGTTGTCGCTTGTGGCTCTGCTGGTTCTTTCAAGTTTTACAAGTAGAATGCTGTCTTTTTATTTTTTGGCTTTAAGCACTATGAGCAAGATTTTATTTGACCTAGTTCACAAACCTTACTTTATTTCTGCTAAATTGCAGATATTATTTCCCCCTTTGCACCAGATTATTTCAGTTTAAATCTGTTAGGAACCTTAATGAGTCTTGGAGAGGTTTAAACTATACTCATCACCATGCATGATTGAGCATAAAAAGCTTCCTGTCTGTTTCAAGCATCCACAAAACTTCCATGGTGGTGTTATTGTGGTTTATACTGCAGCTATTGCAGCCTATCTGGGCTGTGGATGCAGTATAGAGGAGCCTGTTACAGCAGAGGTAGCCTATTCATGATGTGTGCTAGAGATACTGTAGATCATTACATATTTTTTCGCTGCAGTTTTTAAAATAATGTTTTTCTTGTATCATCACTGGCCAATGCACACATGCGTTTGTTGATTCATTAGTGTGTTCAGCAGCCATGTGAAAACACATAATTGTCGCTCCCTCCATTTGCACAAACAGGACTCTCAGCTGGATAGAGCATCCATGCCTCTAAATTGCTTATTGCACAGATTTAGTAGTTTATGGCCTTTTTTCTCTCTGACTGCTCTTAAATATGCCCATAGAATGTAGATTTATTTTTCACTATGGCAAACTTTAAAAAAGAAATCACCACACCTGCATCCTCTGCTGTCGAAAAGGACCTCAATAAATTCAAAAACCTTTTTTATGTTTATTTGGAAGTTCTTTAAGTCTACTTTCTGTGAGCAGTAAGCAGGCAATATTCATTTTCTAAAATGTATGGTAATCCTGCAAACATTTTCGATTTTACTTGAAATTAAAAGCAGTTTTAATTCAGTTAATATAGGGGCTAAGATCTGAAAAGATGATCCCAATCCTTACTCTACGGATTTCACATCACAAATTCTAACAACCTTAATGAACCACAGATAAAATATTAGGCCTAGCACCAATCCTTGTTGAACTCCACATGTAACAACATCATTTTTATTATTTATCTTTGAAGAGTTTAATCTTTTATGAAAATACTCACTAAACAAGTGTCTCTTACCATTTAAAACTACATTCATCATGGTGGCCTTCATCCAAACTGTAGTGTTTTCTGTTGTTACAGCTGGCCTACTGTGTGGTGCAGTTTATGGAGAAAGATGCTACAGTGACTGAATACGTAAGTCTACAACTCAATAAGCAAAATTAATAATGTAATTTTGGCGTGGAAGCATGAGTTGCCCGTGTATGCATAACAACATATTTGCACCTTGTGGTGCCTTTTCAATGTATAATTTGGTTCAGAGGCCTAACACTGTCTTCACATTGTTCTCTATTTGCATAATAATGTATACATTATGTACAGATAAACCAAAAATTTCTTGTTGAAGCAAATTTTTTAACTTATAAAGATGCATATTTCTACAATATCAGTATCAACATCCCAGACTTCTTTCAGTGCCTTCAGATGCCACAGTTTACTTTACTTTGTTGTATGTTTTTATCCTGCAGATCATCAGGGGGCTGCTCAAGTACTGGCCGAAAACCTGCACCCAGAAAGAGGTAAAGAGCAGCAGCTGGTTAATGTCTGCCCCCTCCTACTGCCTTTTCCTCCTCCTTTTCCATGTCATGCATTAACTTAACCGTTGTGTCTTTGTCGGGGGATTTCAGGTGATGTTTCTGGGGGAGATTGAGGAGATTTTGGACGTGATAGAGCCGTCACAGTTCATCCGTATCCAGGACCCTCTCTTTAAGCAGATTGCTGCCTGTATCTCCAGCCCTCACTTTCAGGTGATACATTAATACCAAAGTGGAAGAATAACACTAGAAATAAATACAGAAGTCCCACAAACACAGATACTACACTTTTGTTTGTAAAATAAATTTACAAAACTACCATAATATCATTATTTTCAAATGTACTACAGAGGCTAAAACTAACCTGTAGGAACCAGTTCACAGTTCACTAGCTGCCTGATAAATAAAAGTAAGCTAATCTGTTATGTTACAGGTAGCGGAGCGAGCTCTTTACTTCTGGAACAATGAGTATATCCTCAGTCTGATAGAAGAGAACTGTCAAGTCATCCTGCCACTGGTGTTCGGCACCCTCTACAGAGTCTCCAAGGAGCACTGGAACCAGTATGGCCCACACAGACACACACACACACACACCAACTTTAATCATTGCTTTTTTAGTGTGTATTTCTATTTGTAGTGTGCCATAGAAACAAAACATAATGTGTTATAAACTAATATTTGTTGAAACTGATGGTTGAACAATAATTCTGGTGAAAACAGATGCATTTTAAGCATGACAAACACAATCCAACCCTTTGTTTTTTAGGTGAAAATCCAATTTACAGCAAAACCTGTCATGATTTTTACTTGTCTGTGTTTTATGTGAGTCATCCTCACCTGTTTTCGGTCACAAGCTGTATTATTTAAATTTGCGCCTAAACATCTTAAACTCTGGTAGGAGATTTAGGCTTTTTACAGCAGTTTAATTCCATCATAAAGGTTTTCAGCTCAGCCTTGTTGCTTATGACAAAAGTGAAGCTTTCTTCCAGATTGACCTTTTTCTTCTCACCCTTTCATCGAGGCCCGATTTGTGGATGAATGACTCATGATTCCCTTCAACAGATACCCACCTGAGCTGTAGACCCCTGTTTTTTTCCGGTCGCCTCTTTGGTTCTTATGAGTTTAGCAGGAGACCCATGTCTTGGTAGATGTACAGTTGTGCTTAGCTGTTTCTATTCTCAAATGATAGACTGGACAGAGCTCTGTGAGATGTCAAAATTCATAAACATTGTTTTATAACCTAACTCTGCTTTAAACTTAACCACATCTTCCGCTATGGTCCTTGGGCTTTATGATGCCGTTTGTTTTACAATAAACCCGAGGCCCTCACAGACCAGCTGGGTTTTATTTACTATCAAGGTGACTGTCATGAACCGAGGACAGATGGACCCAGTATTCAAGGAAAAACAGCCAGTAGGAAAGTTCAAAACGTTTATTAAATAAAGAAAACTAAAGTGGAGCTGAGGCTCGCGGACACTGCAGGAGGGGGGCGGGGCACCGCCCAATCTCAGACACTCTCTGTGGGAGAAACACAGGTAAGTGACCACGGTCATCTGACAGAAGATGATTATCTGAGTTGGCTACTTACCTGGTTTAACAGTCCAGTCCTAGAATGTCCCCAAGTGCTGCAGTCCCAGAGGTCTTGCAGGAAGCCGATCCTGGTCAGGGATCCAGAACAGACAGGAACAGGATCCAGATCAGGCAGGAACAGAACAGGTGGCAGGATCCAGACTTCCAGGCATCCACAAGCTCCCAGGAGAGTTCAGAGTCTGACAGGGTCCGAAAGCGTGACCAGGTGGTCACGCACAGGAGCAGATAGGATCAGGTGCAGATGAGCAGGCTCAGTGGAAGAGGGTAGCCAAGGCAGAACGTGGAACCAGAACTTGATGCAGGACTTTAAACTGGTCTCCTCCCTGGAGCCAGGCTTACTGAGATAAAAACTGAACCTCCCCGCATATAGAGCCAAAAACCCGGGGGAGGAACAGTGGACGATCAGGAGACGGGACAAACACAAAAACCTCTTTCCACTGGCCGCCAGGATCCAGGACATCCAGGACCGGGATCTTTCTACAAGGAGTTTGCATGTTCTCCCGGTGCACGCATGGGTTCTCTCTGGGTTCTCCAGCTTCCTCCCACAGTCCAAAAGCATGACTGTTCTTCCTTAAATTCTCCTTAGGTGTTAGTGTGTGTGAATGGTTCTGTGTCTTTGTGTGTCTCTGTGTTGCCCTGCGACAGACTAGCGACCTGTCCAGGGTGTGTCTTGCCTCTTGCCCTTACAATCATAGATAGACCCTGGCCCGCCATGACACTGACAAGAACTAAAGTCTGATTTATACTCGAAAACCAGGTCGACTGTGTGCGTGTCGCAGTTAACGCAGAGACGGAGACACTCTGCTGCACCTCTTTGAAATTGTGGGTGACCGCAGACAGGAGCCCTCTGATTGGTCAACTCTACATCCGCTCTCCACTATATTTCCTGTTTGGTACCTTACTGGCTTGTTTTGTTTGTATGATCGCCATTGGTCCAACTCATGAAGTTGGACCAGCTAGAAGAGCAAGAATGCTGGGACCCTTTTTCCACCTGGATCCTGCACACTTTATCACCCCTCCTTTGTCGCACAAATTTGCCTCTTGCATTTTTCCACTTCTTCACTGCCTCGGCCGTATCTAGACCCACAGCTAGTTCGTGATTGTCCCTCTTGCATTGTGTCGTGGAATAACATAGCACAGACCATGCTTCAATATTGGGCATTAATTTAAAAATATCTGAGTCATACCTGCCACAAACGCACTGCGACACACTGATTTTATTTAGGAGTATATGAGTAAAGGAGATTGAAATGTTACCTTCCACTTTCCCAAAATACATTACTTTGTGTTGGTCTACCTCATCTAGTTTTTAGCTGTAACATGCAGCTGTGAATACTTTAGCAAGTTGCTGCAGAGGAACTGGACAGAAAAAGAAGAACCATCTAAACTACTTTATTATCTGCTTACTTTCAGCCCCAGGCTGTTACTTTACACGGTGCCTCACCCACAGCTTAAATCTTGTGTCGCGATCAAGTGGATTCAGGTTTTTTCTTCTCTACTCTTCTAGAACTATCGTGTCTCTGATCTACAACGTGCTGAAGACTTTCATGGAGATGAACAGCAAACTGTTTGATGACCTCACTGCCTCCTACAAAGTGGAGAAACAGAAGTGAGTATGACTCACTGTCCTTTTCTGTTCGCATCACTGGATACGACAGGGACAGCAGGAGTTATCTGAAGTCATTCCTGAGACAGTTTTTGTTCCATTATCTATCCAGTTAGAAGTTATTCCAGGAGTCAGCATGGTTTAGGTCATCCTGTAATCAAACAGCGCTTCCTGCTAATTATTTAAACTGAAGATAAAAACTAATTCAGGAAAATTATTAGCTTAGCCTCTTTATCCACTGCACAATCTTACTTCTTCCTCAGGTTGGAAAGTTCATGGTTCTTTTTTAGATTGGCAGAGACTTCTAGGTCCTCAGACCTTCTTGATACCTTGAAGGAAGGGTTTAGCAACACTTCAATTTTTTTTATTACAAGCTGTTATCTGGATTTTGTTTTTTACACATTTCAATATTTTTTTTCCATAAATAACTGCTAGAGAATAACACACAAACTGAAGAAGGACACGAGGAACAAAGAGAGGTCAGACACAAAATGGGAAGAAACAGGGAATGGAACATAAGGAACAAAAAAAAAGAAAGGAAGTAAATAAGGGTGAATGGAAGGAAAGAGAGACACAAGGGGGAAAGGAAATGAAGCAAGGCTACAACAACATCAGAAATCTGCCTACGGGTTTTCTTCTCTTTTAACCGTCTTGATATTTTCCTCCATCTTTTCTTTCCCACTGCCTCACCAGGGAGATGAAGCGAGAAAGGGAGCGTGCAGACCTCTGGCGAGGCCTGGAGGAGTACCAGGAGCGTCGAATGCAGATGCTTACAGAGGCCGCCAGGAACCAGCGCAACCTCCAGGAGAGGGTCGAGAGAGGAGACCCGCTGAGCCCTTCCTCCCCACAGACGGCTCAGTCCGACCAACTCGAGCCAAAACCCAGCGGGGCGTCCTCTGGAGCCGGGGAGAGCGCCACCTAGGCACCGCTGCACACATGAGGGATAATACTGGGGGAAGGGTAGTGGGACTTGAGCTTAGTGGTGAAAGTGTTGGGAGACAGAAAAGGTATAAAATCACTTCTTTTTATCATGTATCATGGAGGTGGCAGCTTCTTGTACAAAGGTGCAATCTCTGTGATGCAAAGCTGTACCTTCTTTCTGACAGCATTGTGTGAAACTGGTTCACTTTTAGCTGTACACACGTCATGTTGCAGTTCATTACTCTAAAAAGGTGCAGCCTGTCATGTTATTTATTATCCCATTCAGTAAACTGCAGACCAGCTGCAAAACAAAGAGACAAAGTGTCTCTTTTGGTGTCTAACTTGTCTTGACATTTGACCAACAGAGTCATAGTCTGTACTGTGGCCTCATCTTTATCTTTTTAACTGAAAGATGCTTAATCCTGACGTGCATAGCACAATCCATGAATGAAAACAGATGAAGCAATTTCACACAAATGTCTCAAAGCTATCGCTGCACACAACCGACCAACCTACATACATGAAGGTACTTAGTGTAAATATCAGAGAAGAAACGAGCTACCAAAAGTGTATGGCCGTTAGACATATGTCACACAACTGACTGAGACACACAGATCCCTGTAAGCACCCAAACACACACAAAGATTTACTCAGCCAGTTGTGGCGCTGACTCGTCCCCATCTGGGTCCCACCACAGGATCCCCTACAGTCCCAGTAAACTTCAATTGAAGCCGATTACGATGGTGATGACTCTGATATAAAGTACAATATTGTTCCTTCTTCTTACTTGTTACTCTACTACTACTACTCTACTCTAACTACTACTGATGATGATGTTTTTATATATATATAAATATATATAGATATACATACGTCTGGATATTTCTGTAGCGTATTATGGAAGAAAAACTAGTGTAGCAGAAACCATAAAAGGGGAAGGCCGACTAAAAAATCCCAATTTTTACGCAGTAATGAGGCCATAATGTTAGTGCTGAAATTCAGCAGAAAACCCCTTTAACAGACCTTAACTGAGGGTGGCAGGGATAGACTGGATATGCAGCAGTTGTTTTTCTTTTGCTTTGAAATCTTTGAATCTCCATATAGACCAAATCAACAGTTTTAATACAAACTTGGTTGAAAAACTTAGATAAAAACGTAGATAAATCAACAGGAAGGTTAAAATGTAAGAGAAAAATTATCAACACTGTAATGCAAATAAAACAGATTTGGTGAATTGATCAGAAGCAACTTGATGAATTGATCTATAAAGCATTTTAGGCTATAAAACTTTCTTTGAACATAACTATTTTCAATATTTGCCTGGATGCAATATGAATCATAGCAGGGTGGAATGAAATCAGCAACATCGACAAGAATGAAGGCTGTTACGCTAGGGAGGGGAGTTATAGATTTTGCCTTTTTGAGCAAATACTTAGGTGACTACAGTTGGTACTAGTGTTGCACCGATACCGATACCAGTATCGGACGGGGCGCCGATACTGCCCTAAAATGATGGTGTCGGTATCGGCGAGTACCAACAAATAGGGCACCGATACCATTTTGAGAGCCATAAGTTTATTCAACTATTGTCACCCACTCCTGGTAGGCAATAAAAAGTTCTACTGGATTCACTTTGTATTAGATTTTTTCCTGCTTCACAAAGGTAGGCAGCAGCTTGACAAAGCTGTGATGGCAATTATTTTACATTATTATGGTATCGGTATCGGACGATACTGCACAGCCAGGTATCGGGTATCAGTATCGGGGCCAAAAAATGGCATCGGCGCAACACTAGTTGGTACCCATGAAAAGGGGACATTATCCTGTGCCTACACACATGCTGCAAATACATAAATGGACAACTAATACAGAAAGAACTGCAAACACGAAAAACCCCATAAATAAATAAACAAGGACTATGAGAACTCAAAACCTACTGAAAACACAAACACAGGAAAAAATTTGTAAGTACCAAAAATAGCTGCAAATTAAGAAAAGCTGCAAACTAGCACCGCATAACTTCAGGGGTCCAGACCACTAGGGGGGGGGTGATAATCTTCTCATATGGGACCAGACCATAGTAAAGACATAAACAGAATGCTCAGATAGATTCTGGCTGTGCCCGAATCTCCGTTCTAACCCCTAGACAGACATTATTCCTCGCCGCAGTCGAGTTGTGACAGCCTATGGCGACAGCGGGCCGCTGTGATATCGAATCCCATAACGCTTTGCGAGGAGAGCTCTACCTGCAAAGCATTCTGGGATATATATATCCTGGATGATCACTACTTTTCAAGGCTACTTTTTCATCCACAAGATGTTTGGACACTCATTTAAAATGGTGTAATCACTATATAGTGCCCTATTTAGTGATCAGGGCGGCCATTTAGCTGCTTAAACATGGGATATGCTTTTTTTTTTTCCTAAAGCATTTATTAAATATAGATCTGCTTTTTGTATCCATGCTAGCTACTATCTTCTTCACTGCCTCTGTGCATCCTTCTCTCTTGTCATCAGATGGTAAAGTGGTTGAAATTACCAACTTTAACAGTTTTTTGTCTTAATAAGAAAAAGCTCTAAACAATAAAAGTAGTAATGATGTAGCTACAAGCAAAGCCTCTTATTCAAAGATATATCCACACAAGCCTGAAACTGTGGTGTTACATATAAATAGATACCACAAAGGTTTCAAACTAAAAGAAAAACACTGCCATCCAGTTGGATTTCTGAATCAGGAACGTCTGTTAGGTTTGGCCGATCCTGAAGCTGCTAGAGGGGACCGTGGAGACGACAACCTTTTTCTTTGCGAAGCAACAAAACAATTATTCATTCTTGTCTGATTATTAAGATAGTGTAGTGAGGTGAAGAGAGGGGAGAAAAACCGAAAAAAAAAAAAAGTTATTTTAGCAATATTTTCATTCTTTCAGGATAATCTGTGTGTTTGTAGGGAGTCAGACAGGATAATAAAAAAAACATGTTTTATCTCCTGTTGCATCCATGATACTCACATTGTCTTAAGGTACTACATTATTTGTAAATTTGTTTGATGAAAAACAATTTTGCTCTGTAATTATGTTTATTTTATTGTCTTTTTGTATGACTTTGCTCATCTTGTGGGGAAAAAAAAAAACAATTCTGATGCTATTTATTTTCTATTTGATCATGAAATGTAACCTTATTTGTGGGTGATGTTAAGGTTGTGGAAGTGAATGTGGGGGTGTATGTGTGTGTGTATGATGATTTGTTTTCGTGAGAGGATCAGTGAGCAGAAGACGAGCGTAGGAAGAGTGATAAAGAAGGAGAAGAAGCCGTTCTCTTTGTTTTGTTTTCTCTCTCCTCTCCTTTTTTTGAGGGACGGGGGTTTGATTCTCGAATGTATCGCACAATGTCCCCGATTGTTTCTTTTAAATGCTAATAACGCAGAGCTACCTGTCAGTTGCTTTGTTACAAAACATTCAGAAACCCTTATTAACACACTAGATTCAGCCTGAATGGACAACGTTCAAATTAATTTATTTACAGATTTAGGGGTAATTTTCCACTTCTATTAGAGGAAGGAGGGTTTTAGATTAAGACATGGATCTCTCAGTTTTATCTTAGCAATTCCTTCTACTTTTTAGCATCACTGCAGGGGTGCCACCATTTATCTTCTTCACTGGAAACATAGTTGAGCTGAATTCATCCTAATTATATGATTCCACACCTTTTTTAAAGTCACTTCCTGTCATTTAGCCATCTGGAGCCATTTCATATCATCTGGTTGTTTTCATACCAGCTAATTCACAATAAGGTGAAGTCAACCACAGAACATTTCATTACCAACTTTTAGCACACCCTTTTAAAGCTACCTATTTACAAAATGCCACATTGTCTGTTCACACTATTCACACTATAACGAAAGTTGTTAATATGACTCCAGTAAATAAAATCTACAAGAAGGGGAGGGGGGTAGGTTATATATTGAATTTCAGGTTTAACTAAACTGGACACTAATAGAACCTCTGCATTAGCTTGCCTTGTGGCGTAATCCCCGCGTAAGATATTGACAGCTGATAGTAACTCGCACAACCCCACTTCAAAGGAAAAAAACATTACTTGTAATATTCTGGATTGCAGTAAAACTCTCCAGAAACAAAAAAAATAAATCATTAAATCATATCTTTTCAGGCCTAACAAGGAGAAATTTAATTATTTGGATCAAAACAATAGTTAAAATATTTAACTGTATCAGAACCTTTGATAAATGCTATCCAGTTTATCTAAGTATGACCTTGATTCATATACTATTTAAATTTTGCTAGAGAATGTAACATAACAAAAAGTATCATTGGAAATCACAGAAAATATGTTATAGATTGTTTAAACAAGAAGAAATTAGCTATTTTTATTTTCCCATTCATTGTGTCGCCATCAAGTCTAACTCAGCCTGCCAAAGAAGTCCATTCTTGTTTTCGTAACAAAAAAAAAATAGTTAGAAATAAAAAGATTTTAATTTGGAATAATTTTGCTGGATTTCAAACCTTGTCTTGATTGAGAAAAGCAAATCACAATTGCTATAACCCAAATCAAATGTATCAGCGAAACTATCTGGCACAAACTTTTTATTTTCTATTTGTTTTGGCTTGCCTGTTTAGAAACCCCCCAAAAACGTGGTTGTTTTTGTCAAGGAATACAGGACCTCACCCCTCACTGTTCTCAGATTTTAAAAGCCTTTGGGTTACAAAGACAGCCCTTTGTCCTTAAATGAATTCACCTGATTCCAGCCCCGGTCCAAAATAAAAGGCAAATGAGCGCTCTGGTATCTTCCAACATATAGATGACTGTCATCTTTCTACCTTTTGGCCATAAATTGATGACAAGCAGTAAAGAAGGAAACAAGAGGAGACATAAAGGGAGAAGGAAAGAATTTTATACATGATAGCATTGCAATAAGTCAGAGCAACAGGATGAGAATATAATGTTAATAAAAACTACAACCGCATTACGTAGCAATTTCACAGAACTTCTAGATTTGCACTGTCTGCCCAATGATCTGTGTTTGTTTTGTTGATGATAAAAACAATAGAGGATGATAGAGAGGTTGAAAAAGATGTATATTTTGGGGACCAACACATCAGTGGGGGAGGGGGGGTTGAATGTAGAGATGCTTACTACTGTACGTAACATAACGGGGATGTAGACTGGAGGAAAAAAAAACATCTATGTGCTAAAAGACAAAATGAAATTTCACTTTGAGAAAGCAACTCTGGGAGTCTGTGTTGTTTTTATCAGTCACCACTCATACATTATCTCTCACTGCTATACAAAATGTTCCTAAGCAGTTTTGCTTTTAAAATGTTATGAAATGTGTTTGTGTTCTTTAACGAGAATATATCTTTGAGACATACACTACTGTACCGTTCAAAAGTTTGGGGTCACCCCAAAAATTTTGTGTTTTCCTGAAAAGTCACACTTATTTACCACCATACGTTGGGAAATGAATAGAAAATGGAGTCAAGACATTGACAAGGTTAGAAATAAGGATTTGTATATGAAATAAGATTTTTTTTTTTATACCAAACTTTGCTTTCGTCAAAGAATCCTCCATAGGATTCCATAGGAAATCTTCGATTTCTTAACAATTTCACGCATGGAATAGCCTTCATTTCTAAGAACAAGAATAGACTGTCGAGTTTCAGATGAAAGTTCTCTTTTTCTCGCCATTTTGAGCGTTTAATTGACCCCACAAATGTAATGCTCCAGAAACTTTATCTGCTAAAAGTAAGGTCAGTTTTGTAGCTTCTGTAACGAACTAAACTGTTTTCAGATGTGTGAACATGATTGCACAAGGGTTTTCTAATCATCAATTAGCCTTCTGAGCCAATGAGCAAACACATTGTACCATTAGAACACTGGAGTGATAGTTGCTGGAAATGGGCCTCTATACACCTATGCAGATATTGCACCAAAAACAAGACATTTGCAGCTAGAATAGTCATTTACCACATTAGCAATGTATAGAGTGTATTTCTTTAAAGTTAAGACTAGTTTAAAGTTATCTTCATTGAAAAGTACAGTGCTTTTCCTTCAAAATAATAAGGACATTTCAATGTGATCCCAAACTTTTGAACGGTAGTGTATATTAGTTAGCTTCTGTCTAAAGGGCTCATTATAGCTTCAATTTATTTCAGTATTTTTCTGCCAAATGGATGGAGGAATCTGGTAAAAGAACTCACCTGTGCTATCATGGGACAGATTTATACTGAACTAGTGGAAAAACACCTTTTGAGATCAATGGTAAACTAAAATGTTGTAGGCCTTATTTGTCAAATCTCTTGAATTGCATTAACTTTGATATATACCTTTGATATATCTTTATTTAAAATTAAAATACTAGAAACCTTCATTTAAAATTAAAATACTAGAAATATAGCACTTTATTATATGC